CAGGCCAGGCCTGGACTGCCCCCGAGGAAAAACGTAGGGGGTTTAAGGGTTTAGGGTTTAGGGTTAGGGTTTAGGGTTTATTGGGTTTAAGGGTTTAGGGTTTAGGGTTTAGGGTTTGGGGTTTAGGGTTTAGGGTTTAGGGTTTAGGGTTTAGGGTTTAGGGTCTAGGGTTTAGGGTTTAGGGTTTAGAGTTTAGGGTTTAGGGTTTAGGGTTTAGGGATGTTTAGGGTAGCTAACCTGCCTGGGGGGTTTGGGGGTTTAGGGGTGTTGGGGTTTAGGGGTGTAGGGTTCTGGGGATTCGGGTATATATATATATATATATATAGGGGGTGTAGGGGTGTAGGGGTGTAGGGGTTTAAGGGGGTTTAGGGGTTTAGGGGTTTAGGGTTTAGGGGTGTAGGGGTAAAGGAGCGTAGGGGTGTAGGGGTTTAGGGGTTTGGAGGTTTAGCGGTTTAGTGGTTGAGGGGTGTAGGGGTTCGGGGTGTCGGGGTTCAGGGGGTTAGGTGTTTAGGTTTAAAGGTGTAGGGGTTTAGGGGTTTAAGCTTAAGGTCTAGGGGTGCAAGGGGTTCAGGGTGTAAGGGTGTGGGGGTTTAGGGGTTTAGGGGTGTAGGGGTGCAGTGGCTTCGGGGTTTAGGGGTTTAATGGGTTTAGGGGTGTAGGGGTTTTAGGGGTTTAGGGGTTTAGGGGTTTAGGTGCTTATGGGTTTAGGCGTTTAGGCGTAGAGTTTGGACCTACGCGCTGCCTCATCCTTTCCAACACGAAAGCTAGCACGGCAAAACGCCACCATGCCGACTCAGACCTTAAAGGGCTTGGGTTGGTTTAGGCAAGGGGTGTTGAGGTACAAGATATTTTGAGGTTTACGAAAAAAAGGGTTCCCCTAAAATAGACCCCAAATAGCAGGATTCCCTAAACCCTAAACCCTAAACCCTAAACCCTAAACCCTGAACCCTGAACCCTGAACCCTAAACCCTAAACCCTAAACCCTAAACCGTCGCTTGGGTGTCCCACCTGCGGCACCTCCCTTGGCAGCGAAGCGGATCGGCTCGCGGCCTCACAAAACATGCAGCAGCTGGGAGACATCAAGCCGTCAGTTTTTCTTAGAGTTTAGGGTTTAGGGTTTAGGGTTTCGGGTTTAGGGTTTAGGGTTCCCTTGATAGAGGGGCCCTGTCACACAGCAGTGACCCATGCTGCGCGGACGGATGCGATCACTCACTGACCCTTCGCCAGGTTTGCCATGAGAATCATGTCACGTATCTACATATACAAGTATTCACATGAGTTTTCCATCCCAACCGTCACCCCCCCCCCCCCCCCCCAACTGGCTATTGGGTTAAACCAGGAAATGCTTGAGCTCAAATTTGGGGGTGGGATGTGTGAGGCTACACCCTAAACCCTAAACCCTTAAACTCTTGTTGTGCTTCTCAGCTTGATAAACTCTCTTCGCCGCACAGGGCCATGCAGCATCTGTGGAGATGCCCTGAATGTAGGGTTTAGGGTTTAGGGTTAGGGTTTAGGGTTTAGGGTTTAGAGTTTAGGGTTTAGGGTTTAGGGTTTTAGGTTTTTAGGGTGTTTAGGGTTTTTTAGACTTTTTGGGTTTTTAGGGTTTAGGGTTTAGGCTTTGGCTTCCAACATGTGCAGATGGCAGCCCTACTATAGGGCCCTTCATAATTAGAATAGGTTTTTTTTTGGGGGGTTGTATTATAGCCCATCTATAAAAGGGGCCATAAGGGAATACTATTCGTAATTATTCCGACCCCTATACTAAATTCCTGAAACTGGCAGTATGTAAGGTTTTCCTCTTGTACCTGGAAGAAGGGCACATATACCCAGGTTTAGGGCTTCGAAACCCTGATCATAACCCTAAAACCTAAACCCAAAACCCTAGACCCTCACACCCTCACACCCTCACACCCTCACACCCTCACACCCTCACACCCTCACACCCTCACACCCTCACACCCTCACACCCTCACACCCTCACACCCTGAGCCCTAAACCCTAAACCCTAAACCAAAACCTATAAACCTTAGGGTTCAGGGAAACTCGGCCGGTCGCAGGGTGTTCTCGGCGTGGCCTTCGAGGGCAGCGGCACAATGGGGCTCGGAACTTTCGGCCTGAATCAGGGCTTAGGGCTTAGGGGGTTAGGGGTTTGGGGTTTAGGGGTTTGGGGGTTTAGGGGTTTAGGGGTTTAGGGGTTTAGGGGTTTAGGGGTTTAGGGGTTTAGGGGTTTAGGGGTTTAGGGGTTTAGGGTTTAGGGGATTATGGGTTTAGGGTTTAGGGTTTAGGGGCTTAGGGGTTTGGGGGTTTAGGGGTTTAGGGGTTTAGGGGTTTAGGGGTTTAGGGCTTTAGGGGTTTCGGGGTTTCGGGGTTTCGGGGTTTAGGGGTTTAGGGGTTTAGGGGTTTAGGGGTGTAGGGGTTTAGGGGTTTAGGGGTTTGGGGCTTTGGGGGTTTGGGGGTTTGGGGGTTTAGGGGTTTAGGGGTTTAGGGGTTTGGGGGTTTGGGGGTTTCGGGCTTTAGGGCTTTAGGGTCTAGGGGTAGGGTTTAGGGGTAGGGTGTAGGGCTTGGGGTTTATGGGTTTAGGGTTTAGGGGTAGGGTTTAGGGGTTAGGGGTTTAGGGGTTTTGGGGTTTACGGCTTCAGGGTGTATGGGTTTAGGGTTTAGGGTTTTGGGTTTATGGGTTTAGGGGTTCAGAGTTGCCCTAAAACCCTCTGAACAAGATTCCTAGATAGGATCCTCTCTAACCCAACAAGAGACAGCATAACTTATGCAAAGGCCCTACCCATATAGTATGGGGTTTAGGGTTGAGGGTTTAGGGCTGCTTGGGAAGTAGGGCTTCAGGGTTTTGATGTGAAGGTGTGAAGGAGGTTGTTGTTGTTGGGGGCGAGGCTCAGGCGGTTTAGGGTTTAGGGTTTAGGGTCCCTAAATCCGAAAATCCTAGGCCCCAAGCCCCCGAAGCCTGTCGGGGCCGACAAGGTAAGAGGATGTCATCTGCATGCACTACAAACATTTTCTGGGCACTGGACAGATGACATGTTGGGTAGACTACCGTAAACTCGAAAGCCTAGCCTAAACCAGAGGTCGGCGATGCCCCGAATGGAGAGGCCCCGGGTGGAGCGGTCGGCGATGCCCCGAATGGAGAGGTCTCCCATTGGAACCATCCACACTCCTGTGAGGCCAACGTGAGTCCTGGCTGAAACCGGTCACATGATAGATGTGCCCGGCCCGAAGATGCAGGCTTTCGACTCACCTTCCGCACTATGTGCCCGGTGCTGCAGCCAGGGCTAGCCCTAAACCCTAAACCCTAATCCCTAAACCCTAGCCCTAAACCCTAAATCCTAAACCCTAAATCCTAAGCCCGGGGGGCTTGGATGGCTTTGTAGGCCCAGTTCACCGAACTCAGGCCCGAGCGCGAAGGCGGTACTTCGCTTGGATGGGGTGAACCAGCGCTGGTAGCCTCTACGTTTACAGGGTTTAGGGTTTAGGGTTTAGGGTTTAGGGTTTAGGGTAAGCTCATGGGTAGTTAGATGTAGGGTTATAAGTACCCTGAGGGCTACTTGGAGGGGGTAGTTATAAGTACAGTGTCCAAAGTACCCCAAATAGGGGTCATAAGTATGGCTAGCATACTTATTTATATACCCTTAGGTGCCTGAACTATTCGAATGGGGTGTTGGGGGCCATGATAGTGAAACACTCCAGGGAACCATGCGGGAATACCATTCGTAATTATTCCGACCCCCATAGTACCCTACTTACAGCTGCCCAAATGAATCTCCAAGTATGCGGGTTGGGTTATTCCCCCTTATACTAACAGTGCTCAATACGGAATATAATAATAATAATAATAGGGGTACCAAAATCCCTGTTCAACATCCCAGTATGCAGGCAAAACACCACCTTGTGGGCCAATCGAGCTCTTTTTGTCAGCCAGTCTGGGTCATCCTCTTGGGGCTTGATAGGGTTTAGGGTTCGTAGGGTTTAGGGTTTAGGGTTTAGGGTTTAGGGTTTAGGGTTTAGGGTTTAGGGTTTAGGGTTTAGGGTTTAGGGTTTAGAAGGGCTCAGAAGGAGCTTGTGGAGTCAAGGCAGCGTCAAGGAAAACTCACCCGCAGCTTCAAACCCCCTTGGATTCTGCAGTTCACAGCCCATCCCCCCCTCCCGAGATAAATAAGAATGCGAAAATACAAAACGAAGCAAAATCAAAAACAAAATAAAAGATGTCGAAGCTGCACGGTTTAGGATAGCACAGAGTTTTGGGGGATATTGCGGTATAATTTTCTAGGGGCCATGTGGGAATGTCATTAGTAATTATTCCGGCCCCTACATGAAAACGGCGACTTTGTCGTGTGATACCTTGAAACTCCTGGGCGTCGTTGATCATACTCCAATTTGTAGAGGGTTTGCCAACCTCAATCCTCAACCCTAAACCCTAAACCCACCCACAAACCCCTAGTTCAGCCCGAGACCACCCCTCCCCCTGAACTATACAACCACCCTGGTATCATGTTCTCACTGCCTACGAGTTAGGGCCCGGCCCTGGCTACTACCCCTTCTTAAGGAATACACCTCCTTTTCATGAACAGGGTTTAGGGTCTGGGGCTTGGGGCTAAACCCTAAAAACCCTAAACCCTGGAGTTCAAGGTACGTTTTGAGGCTTTGCCCCCTGATATTTACAGTCCTTAATATAGGGATTCTAGTACACCCCCCCCCCCCCCCACCCCCGCCCCCTAGTATCATCCCTATTAAGGACTGTTCGTATAAGCGGGAATATCCCCAAAGTACGCTCGAAAGCCTTTCAAGAAGTCGGGGCTTCATATTATTAGGGTTTAGGGTTCTGAGTTCGCTTAGGCTCCAGGGGTGACTAGCCAGAGACTCCCGTATCCCGTAAGAAATAAATTCATGAGGAATCCTCGTATAATTTAAGGTCTGAGACTGAATTTAGGGAAATGAGAGTCTCTGAAAAGCATGTATTGCGTGCTCACTTCACTGTCAGGCAGCAGTTCCTCTCAAACATCGTCCTCAGGAGAAAACGGCGCCGGTAGTACTGGGCGTGATCGGCTGAAGAATCCGGGGTACGCGACTTCTTCTTTCCAACAGGCCCCACCTCTCTCGTCTTTGTGTTCGTTGAGGGTGGCTAGGTGTGCAGCATACGTGTTGGGCTTGTAAATGATCATCGAGACCGTGTCTCCATGCGCAAGGCCACAGTCTTTTGCTGTCTTCAAGCTGTCCGTGAGCTCGCGTTTGCCATGTATCAGCTTGAGAACATGTCCAGGGCTGAACTTCAGGATCCTCTTTATGGATTCCTTGACCTCCTGGACAGTGTGGCCCAGCGTTATCTGACAGGGGAATGAGTTCCCAGATGGCTGTAGGATGTGGATTGTGATAGCGTGCAGGTGGTCATGCAAGCGGTCAGCATTGGACGCTTGCACTTTCATCATGGCACTACCACTCCTATTGCAATTGCTGCTGCTGACTGCTACTACTAACTTCTACCTTCACGAACCTACTATTTCCCACCTAAACCCTAAACCCGAAACCCTAAACTGCAGTTTTTCCTACTCCACGTATTTCAACACCGCAACGAAGTTGAGCCACAAGGTCCTCAGACGAAGCTTGCTAAGAAGTCCACGTTTCGTGTAACTCATGGGCCCTTTCTACGGACTTTCTTTAAGGCTCCACAAAAAAAGGATCGTATATAATATATAGAATATAAATGGGGAAGTGCCCAGAAGGCGGCAAAGGGTTTAGGAGTTTAGGGCTTTTGAACTGTTCAACCGGCACGGCCCTCAACCCTTCAAGCCCCAGAACGCAGTCAACGAGAGAAGCCAAGTTGCACTCCCAAACCCAAATCCCTGTTTATGCTAGTTACGGTTTAGGCTTCAGGGTTTAGGGTTTAGGGCCCCAAACCGGGTTAAGGGTATGTAGGGAATAGGACTCGTTGAAGTCGCCCTGAGTGCGCATTGATCCTCAGAGCCGGCTTGAGCGGCAAACCCTGGAAGCCTCTGGCATTGAACGAAGCCCTGATCCATGAAACCTTGTCGTAAGCAATACCTGAAACGGCTCAAGGTTGAGGGTTTCCGCTTGTCTTTTATGGGGGGGACGGAGAGAGAGAGAGAGAGAGAGAGAGAGAGAGAGAGAGAGAGAGTGAGAGAGAGAGATAGAGAAGAGAGAGATGCCCCCCCCCCCCCCCCCCCCCCCCCCCCCCCCCCATTTTGGAGAAATGCCCACATCTCAAGCCGCAAAAGTTCCCTCCAGGCACCTCGTGCGTGCGAACCCCTGGCGAAACAAGACGGCTCAGGGTCTCTGGTTGACGCTTCTAGGCTTAGAGGGGCCCCTCAGAATAAAGCCTAAACCTACAACCCAGAAGCCTTGCAACTCTACACCCGCCACGGGTTTTGGGTTTAGGGTTTAGGGTTCGTCTGTGACCTGGAGACCTTCAACGCTGCTCATAGTTGTCTTGTATGGTTAAACGGTATGATGATGAGAATTTGACATCAGATTGCCTCACACCTGTCAATTTCTTAATATGAACGATTCAAGGTCTTGTTATCTGTTCTTATCTACCATTATGATACATGCTTTACTGCTACAGCTATTTGTAATGATTTGATATGCATTATTCAACATAAACAAATAAACAACTTTACATATATATATATATACATATATATATATATGTATAAAAAAACAATTTGTATGTATGGATATATATATATATACCCTGCTTGGCTGATTTCCCACCTTTGGGTGAAAGATTGTGCACCCGGAATCTCGCTTGCCACTGCCTGCTCAGCAGCTGGACTGTGCAGCCGGAACCTCGGGGTGATATCTCACCCTCTCGCCTCTATTGGGTAGGCGGGCGCCCGTCGAGCGCACCCCTAGCGAGCTAGAGTCGCCTTGCATTGTGATTTGTGCTCTCGCCTCAAAGGACCCCTGGAAAGGCCCCTTGGACGGCCCCTTGGCGTGCCTCAACTGTCCTCTCCTTTAAACGCCGGCGGCCGCGAGGATGCCTTCAGGGAAGCCTCCAGAAACTTCGCCCAGCCCCTGGAAACATGCTGGGGAGCTTCCCAAGAGCCTTGAAGCTCCTTCGAATATTATATGTATATATATATATATACCCTATATAGTCCCTAGATACCTAAGTAGTCCCTCCTTTGGTCCCTTGAGAATACTGCTCTGCTGTTGACAGGGCCCTTCGGCCCAGACAGTCCCCAGTGCATGGCCTAAGTTTCCCGAGCGTGGCGCGCATGTTCCCTAGTACAAGATTGACACGTGGGTAATTCCCACAGCAGGCTACCCCTGATATACTCCAAAGAGAATATAATCCCCTTAAAGGGACCCCCCAAAAAAAGGTTCCCCTATTTCGGAAATCTCTAACCCTAAACCCTAAACCCTAATTAACAATTAACCCTAAACCCTAAACCCTAAACCCTAAACCCTAAACCCTAAACCCTAATCCTAAACTTTGGCTTGGTTTGGGCTGGCTCTGGCTTGGCTCGATACTCGTGTCTTCACACGATTGCACTATCGCGTTCACCTGACCGATACTACACCCTATAAACGTGCGAGGTTCCCCCCTTATACTTAATCGGATTAGTGAGGGTTTAGGGTGTAGGGCTTAGGGTTTAGGATTTAGGGTACATGAGACAAATATCCAGATGTCCTACCTGGACAAGGAAAGCGCGCACCTTGTGAAATGAGGACTAGACTTGGGCAGGGGAGCGGGGTTAAGGGGGCAGACCTTGAAACTTGAAACTGCGGTTGATCGTGAAGTGGCCCCTCAACCATATGAGCCCACAGATCCATCAAACCAAGAAGCCCTGAAAACCCTGAAAACTCTAACCAAGACCGGAAAAAAAAAAAACCTTAAAACCTAAACGCATTCCGAACACCCACAGCATGCTTTCAAGAAAGCCCTAACGACACCCTTGAAACAAACACCCCGAAAACCCGAACAACAACTATAACCTAAGCCCGAAACCCTGAACCCTGAAAACCCTAAAAAAACACTGCAACACCTACTAAACTGTCTAAACCCTAAACCCTAATGTTAACCTCACATCTATAAATGGGGTGGCAACTGTAATATTCGCCGGGCCAGAGGGGCTCAGCCAAAGACTACTTTCCATTACGGGAGGTTTTCGGGCCGATGTGCGTAAACAAGTCTATATAGGGGGGTCCGGTGAAAATAATAATGGGGTGACAACAGTAATATTTGGCCGGCCAGGAATCAGAAATTTTACTTGCAGAGAAGACTTTTCGAGCTCCGAGAGCAAGCAGAACCCTTCGAGACCAAGCACAGCAGACCCTGACAGCTAACCCCCTCCAAGACCCCCAGAATCCGCATTATTGGCACCCACTCGTTTTTTTCGACCCCTCCAAACCCCGGGGACCAAAACAAGTTTTGGGGGGGGGGGGGGGGTTATTAAAGCGACGTTAACATTAAACCCTGAAACAACCCTTTCAGAAACACACACACACACACATACATACATTCCAACATAATATTAACAAGAATGATGATCACAATGGTAATAATAATCTTATTAATGTTAAGAACCCTAAACCCTTGAACACAAAAAAAACTCTGTCAACAACTGAAAAAAAGGGGAGCCTGGGGGCCCCCGAGCGCAAGTCGAAGGAGAACTCCGCTGGCGGCTCGCGGAAGCCCTTCTTAAAGTCCTCGTCGGAAGTAGGGGGGGTTGCAGGGGTTTATCAGGTGTGTATCGAGAATGAAAAGGGTATGTCTTAGGGTATGTCTTGGGTATGTAGAGGGTTATGAAAAGGGTATGTATAGGGTATGAAATGGGTATGTATAGGGTATGCAATGGGTATGTTTAGGGTATGACAAGGTATGTATAGGGTATGAAAAGGGTATGTATAGGGTATGCGTAGGGTATGTAGAGGGTACGTAAAGGGTGTGCAATCGGTATGTTTAGGGTATGAAAAGGTATGTATAGGGTATGAAAAAGGTATGTATAGGGTATGCATAGGGTATGTAGAGGGTTTGTAGGGTATAGGGTTTAGGATTTAGGGTTGAAAGGTGGGTGGTGCTTGGAGGACAGCGGGACTCTAGAAGGGACCCTGCTGGGGGTTGTAGCCTACGTAAGAGAGCTACTTATTAAGATTCAGATCCGCCCAAAAGGGGCCTTTGAGTAGATAGGGCTCAAGGTTTAAGGTATAGCCCACAATTCCTCAAAGCTTAGGGAGCGGAAGTTAAGGCTTTGGGGCATTTCCCTTAAAATAGGGGGAGCCCCTCCTTGTACCCCCCCCCCCCCCCCCCCCCCCAAAATCGCATAGCCCCTATTCTAGGAACCTCCACAATGGGTAGCCTTATTTTCATAAAGCCCATGTCGATCGTATTTTGGGCTACATTTATTCTGGGAAATGCCCAGTAGTGGGGCTTCTGTGTCGGGTAGACTCTAGGGGTCTACGATGTAGGGTGTCGATTTCAGGCGAAATTTCAGGGACTGCCGGATCCTTCGAGAAAATATTGGGGTCTGGAGCAAGGGGTTCCAGGAAATGGGGTTTAGGGTTTATGGTTTAGGGTTGTATGCATGGAAACCCTAAATCCTAAACCCTAAACCCAATAACCCTATAATCCTATAACCCGATAACCCAATAACCCTATAACCCTATCTAGGGTACTTAAAACCCCTACCTATCACGACCCTCGAACCTCCAAGCATCCCAGGCCTGGTCCAGCACAATGTACGTATCCCTTCCAGTCCCATCCTCGGATAAGGTTTAGGGTTTGGGTTTAGGGTTTAGGGTTTAGGGTTAGGGTTTAGGGTTTAGGGTTTAGGGTTTAGGGTTTAGGGTTTAGGGCTTAGGGTTTAGGGTTAGGGTTTAGTGCTTAGGGCTTAGGGTTTAGGGCTTAGGGTTTAGGGTTTAGGGCTAGGGCTTAGGGCATGCGGAGAGCTTAGTCCCTCAAGCGCAAGGGCAGTAGAAACTGTCGAGAGATAGGGAAGTTTCCGATACTTGTTTCGTGTACCCCAAAAGCCTAAACCCTAAACCCTAAACCCTAAACTCTAAACCCTAAACCCCATGTACGCTCTGGAGATCTCAGTGTTTAGGGATTATGCTCGTAATGCGGCTTAGATACTGTTCTGGGTATCAGGATTAGCAAGGGAAAACCCTCAACCCTAAACAGTATCTCACATATGTGTGTATGTACGGACATGCATACAGTGGGTTTAAATGTCGTTCTTGGCTTGCATTGTCTGTTCCGTCAACCGGGCTGATCTAAAGTGTGGGTCCTTTAGGGGGTCTCCTTCATAAGGGTTTAGGGTTTAAGGGTTTAAGGGTTTCAGGGTTAAGGGGCCTGAAAGGCCTCCGTCATCTAGATCAGCTCCCCCCGATAGTGAGAAGATCTCGAAACCCAAAGCCCTAATGCGCTGTCATCTTCCAAAAGTCGACTGTAAAATGCATCAACGGAGTCCGTGACCTTGTTTCGGATTTGGGACGTTGAGGTTTAGGGTTTAGGGTTAGGGTCTAGGGGGGGAGGAAAGGAAAAGAAGGGTACGGGTGGCAGGGGAAGGGCCGCTCGGGCTGATAGGGGTTCATAGGGCTTACAGGGTTCATGTAAGGCTTAGAGCGTCAACCATGAACTAATGTTGGTAGCCCAGTTACCATATTATGATAAGGGTACCCTCTCTTTGGGTGACTTTAGAAGGAAACCTTGAGCCCAAACAACAAGGGGTAAAGGGTACCACTGGGCTACCAAGTCATTCCCACCTTCTACCCCCAAATATTAAGTACCCCCCATATACTAGAATATAACTATAATAGGAGTATTTAATATTAGGGGTTGGGGGGGTTTAATATTAGGGGGGGATTCATAGACATGGCGCGGAGACAAACACTGGCGTGATGCGCGTAACCATCGTGATCTTCTCGGCGGAACCCTGGAGGGCGAAGCAGGGCACGTGGTAGCCCAGTAACCATACTAACATGGTCATAGTAATACTGTTCTTCTTATTGTTATGATTAACTAACTAACTAACTAACTAACTAACTAAGGAATGAATTCATGAATTAATTAGTCAGCTAGATATTTATACTAATTAGTTAATGAGCTATGTATATATATATATATAAATATGTATGTATGTATGCATGTATGTAAGGGCATCCTTTGGTTGCTGCATAAGGGAACCCATAACCCAAAACAGGGCAAGGGGTACCACTGGGCTACCAAGGCGAAGCACATCTCAAGTCGGGGATTGGAGCAGGACCTGCCCAGGCAACCTATACACCTGTACAAAGAGTAAAGATACCTTAATTGGGTATGCTTGTCTCAACTTGCCTGGGTACTTGGAGGTTCATGTGTTGCAAAAATTTTAGTAGCTACTTAGGGTACTTACAACTACCCATGGACCTTCAAGTAGACTCCCGAATGCAAGAGCAAAAACCTGCGGGAGTTTCAACGAACCTCCGAGGGTGCGATATCTTGTAGTGTCCCGGGTCCCAAGCCACAAACAACCTAGACTTTGGGCTCAGGATTGAAGGCAATCCACCCTGCAAACCCATAAACTCAAAACCCTAAACCCTAAACTCTAAACATTGGGGGGCGCTTTGAGAGTTGGAGGCCCCATCGGCTAGCCTGGCTTCGTTGCAAGAGATTCCCAGAGACGCTGCTGAGCCCGGCACAGATGCACCAGACTTCACGCCTCTATCTGACCATGGTGCTTGTGACAACTCCTATGGTTGGAAAAGCTGCGGGCCATAGCGGCAGGCGGCACCAGAAGGGTTGCTACGGTTGTTGGGGCGTTTTGGTCTGGGGGGCGTCTTTATGAGTAGAATGGGTTGCCGGGAGTCATCTTGGTGGAGTCATCTTGGTCGTTCTTTGGGCTCCGGCGCCCTTCGTGGTCAAGCAGACATCCCTCACAAAGAGTGTCGCTTCTCATGCTCCCAAGTCCCAGCGACAATCACTGCGTCACTGGGTTTGTCTGTAAACCCCCGGCCTCTTCCACCACCCCTCCCCCTCCCCCGCCCCACTGCTTCGAAAGGGCAACCCCCCCGCCCCCTCCGGCCCGCGGTTTGGTTTCAGGTTGCGGTGTTTATCAACTCGGATTCGAATGAATTCGAAAAATAACTTCTCAGGATCCCAAAAATAAGAGGAATCATATTAATTTTAAATATGCCCCTTTCAAAAGCAGAGGTGGGGGGGAGGGAGGGGGGAACTGGGCAAGAAAGAGGTCCGGGTCACAATCAATCGGAGGAAGCACTAGCGCGGTGATGAGTGCCTGAACAACCGTATCTACCGCCTCCTTGACTCGCAGCACATGATAGAGCAGCTCAACAAACGACTTTTCCTACCCGGCAGACATAGCTTATTGATGACTCTTGATGGTGAGACCTCGGTGCTGCCTGCACATTTGGCGCCAGCTGCGTGAAACCTATTCAAGTCTACTTCCAACCACGCCAAGAACCCAGAGACCCAAAACCCTGAATCAATTAAGGACTATTTCTCAAAATGTAAAAAGTCGGACCCTGAAGGGACTTTACACCCCTGTGAATACCCCAAGCCCTAAGCCCTCAACCCCAAACCCAAATTTGCGTTGGCAATGGAGGCCTTTGAGCATCTGCAGCCCAGACTAGACCTCTCAATGCTCGGACATCATCATGGTGACCTTAAGCCAAACATTGGAGATTCCGCTGAGGGTGTTTAGGTTGGCTTCTAACCGGTTGTGGGTTCAGGGCTTAGGGTTTAGGGTTCCGGCCGGCAGAGGAAATTGCAAAAAACGCTGCGAGCAACACACCTCTGAGCCCCCAGCATACTCATCGTATCTGAAGAAGCCATCGACACATTCCTGGGAGAGGTACGTTAAGATCAAACCCCCATCTGCAATGGAATGGCTGTGAACTGAAGTGCCGCCCCTGTCTGCAGCAACTGCCCCAAGTGCCCCTCAAAGTACTGCGCATAGCCATTGCAGTCTTGTTCTCGAGCCTTGCGACCCGTAAACCCGAAACGCTGAACCCGAAACACTAAACCCTAAACCCCTGGAAAAGGCCGGGCAGCAATTTGCGCCACGAGGTTCTTGGCCTCCTCAGCGGTCAGCTTCTCACGCCCATACACCTCTCGGCTTCATTAGGGAAAGCCTCTACAATGGTGTCATGCAGTGGGCCGCTTCGGAAGATGGGCTTTTGTTCGAGAATAGAGGGTCCCCTTGCAGATTTAGCGTGAAGTTAAGGTTTTAGGCTGTAGTGAGTTTAGGGTTGAATTGGGGTCTTGTAAGTGTTGAGTTCTTACTGACGAAACATAAAGAGCGATGGCACATCTCATGGAGCAGCCTCGTATCCCGGGACAGAACGTCATTACGAGCAGCCCTAAACCCTAGACCCTAAACCCTGAACCCTGAACCCAAAACCCAAAACCCAAAACACAAAATCTTAAACCCTAAACCCCTAAACCCTAAACCCTAAACCCTAAACCCTAAACCCTACAGCGGCCAGCGCCTGCAGGGCGTGCTCCAGGTCTTTCACTCGGATGCAGCCGTCCGGAGCACTTCCAGCAAACACCTCGGGACGGTAAGGCGGTTTAGGGTTTAGGCTTTAGGCTTTAGGTTTGAGGCTTCAGGGTTTAGGATTTAGGGGCACGTGGTTTGCTTCAGTTTCGCAAGGTCCGAAGCCTTGAGCCTGAGAACTTAAGCCCAAACCTTGTACTTGAAGCCCTAAACCCGAAATCCCTGCAACTTGGTAAACTCTAGCGCCCCCAACTCCAGTCAAAACCTGAAGCGTTTAGGGTTTAGAGTTTAGGGTTCAAGGTTCAGGGTTTCGGGTTCCTTACTTGCTCTTCTCTCTGGGAGAAAAGGTCGCCTTTGGGGCTTCTTCAAGGGAATGGTCAGTCTTAAAGGTTACCCTAAAACCCCAAACCGTGCTCAGCTTCCAAGAAGAATAAAGCCTGAACCCTAAACCCTAAACCCTAAAGCCTAAAGGCTAAAGGCTAAAGCCTAAACCCTAAACCCTCAACCCTAAACCTTCCCTAACCCACCTCAGCGATTAGTCCCCACTAGGAGCCTTGAAGGCCTTCCGGACTTCATCGGCCGTGTAGTCGGTGTTGACCTGGCAGTTGGGGAGGAGGGGAGGTGGGGTGTTAGGGTTTGGGCCGAGGGGGTTGACACACAAATTGCACAACATTGCTGAACAATTGCTCGTGTTTTTTTTTTTTTTTTTTGGGGGGGGGGGGGCTGGGGGGGGGGGGGGGCGGGGGGGGGGGGGGGGGGGGGGGGGCGGGGGGGGGGGGGCGGGGGGGGGGGCGGGGGGGGGGGGCGGGGGGGGGGGGGGGAGGCGGGGGGGCGGGGTGTGGGGTTGTGGGCTTTGAGCTTAATTCAGGAGTTCGACAGGTAGGGGGTGATCAAGACAATTCTGTTACACCGCCTATATCAAATCAAGAATCCCTAAACCCTTAACCCTTGTTCTCCATCTACCCATGTCCAAGCAACTGCAATTTAGGGCTTAGGGATTTTTAGGGTTTAGCGATTTTTAGGGTTTAGGGGTTTTTAGGGTTTAGGGATTATTGGGGACACGTGCAAGTTGAGGGCCCCACTGGGTCTCGGGCAGGGCTTCGGGACAGTCTTCGTGTTTGGATGTTTCTCCCTTATCACTCTCTATCTCATCTATCTATCTATCTGTCTGTCTCTATGTATATATATACATATACCCATTTCTGAGGGATGTTCGAAGTAAAATAATGTTTAAGTTTGCTTTTTTTTTAAATAAGTTTTGCGTGCTTTTTTTTGAAAAAAGTGCACTCCCACAGCGTCCCATTTTCTATATAAATATATGGTCACCCCCCCCCCCCCCCATGATCCACACCTATGGTTTTCCGGTCTTCGTCTTTGTCTGATTTTCTGCTTTTTCCTCGGAAAAATGCAGTAAAAACTGTACTGGAATACAAAAAGCTCTTTTATATGATCCCCTATAAAAACACTAGTGTTTTTGTATGTACATTTTGCTTCTGAAATGTGTGTCTTGTGGCTCCATAAAGTTTTAGAAGGGCAGCCATTTAGAATTTGAAGGCTTTTGAGGGTTTAGGGGCTTTTTGAAAATTTAGATGATCTGTGGAAGGCACCGGGGCTTCCCCAGACCATTTCAAATTTTAGAAATCCTTAAAATACTTTGTTTTTTTGAACGGGCAGCCCCTTTAAGATTTTAAGGGCTTTAAGGTATTTGAGCCATTCCAAATTTTCAGGATTTAAAAGGCGTTAAGGCCTTTAAAAACCTGAAAGCTTTTACCCCTAAAAATTCTAGAATACCTTAACATTGTAAAAGGGCAGCCGTTCAAAATTATGGAAGTTACTTGATTTTAGAATTGAACATCAAATCCTTAAATCCTTAAACTTTAAAAAGGACAGCCATTTACAGCTGCAAGAATTTCAGGGTGTTAAGGGTTTGCAAAAACTTACATGGTCTGGGGAAGTCTGGGGAAGGCATCGGGGCTTCTCCAGACCATTGACAACTTTAAAAACCCTTAATTTCCTAAAAGGGCAGCCACTAAAATGCTTAAGCATTTTAAGGTTTTTCAAAGGCCTTAAAACCTTGAAAATCCTGAGAAGGTTTAAGCAGAATTTTAATGATCTTTATAAGATGTTAAGGGTTTTAAAAGTTCAGATGGTCTGGGGAAGCCCCGGTGCCCTCTCCAGACCATTTAATTTTTTTTTTTTGAAAAATGGTCTGGGGAGGCCCCGTGCCTTCCCCAGATCATTTAAACTTGAAAAAAACCTTGAAACCCTTAACCCTAAAAACCAAACCCGAAACCCTTCACACTAAACCCTAACCACTCAGCACCAGACCCTAAACACTAACCCTACAAAACTTAACACTAAGCCGTTAGCACAAACCCCAAACACCTAACACGAAACCAACGCTACACCCTAAACACTAAACCCTAAACATTATACACTAAACCCTACACACTAAACCCTGAACACTAAACCCCAAACCCTAAACATAAGGATTTTTAAAGTTGTCAATGGTCTGGGGAAGCCCCGGTGCCTTCCCCAGATCATTTACAATTTGTAAAAACCCTTAACACCCTTAACCCTAAAAACCAAACGCGAAACCCTTAACACCAAACACTAAACACTCAGCACTAGACCCCAAACACTTACCCTTAAAAACTTAACACGAAGCCCTTAGCACAAACCCCAAACACTTAACACGAAACCCTAAACGCTTAACCATAAACTCTAAACACTACACCCTAAAAACTAAACCCCAAAGCATTACACACTAAACCCTACACACCAAACCTTAAACCCTAAACAGTAAACCCCAATGCCGGAAGCTCAAGCCCTACTAAATCTAAACCTGAAACCAAGAACCCGTCGGGGATTCAGATGCTAATTGTTTGGATTTTAGAGTTTAGGGCTTTATTTGGTTTAGGGTTTTAGCCAAGCCGCTTGACCCTATCCCTAAACCTAAACCCTAGACCCTAAACTTAACACTCAAACCCTAAACACAAAACACTATAACCCTGAAACCTACACACTAAACCCTAAACACAAAACACTAAACCCTAAACCCGAAACAACACATCCTGAACCCTAAACCCTAAACACTAAACCCTAAACCCCAAACAAAAAACATGGGGGTTTCAGTCCTTTAGGGGTTTTAAAACTTCATCATTATGAGGTTTAGTCTTGTAGACATTGCCCAAGTCGCTTAACCCTAAACCCTAATAAGTAAACCCTAAACCTTGTAAACCAAAACCTAAACACTAGACCCTAAACACTAAACCCTAACCCTAAACACTAACCAATAAACACTAAACCGTAATCCCTAAACGTGCATATGGAGAACATGGGCCCCGGACTCCAGACTCCAGATTTCCAGAAAAATTTGGAGTACCCGGGCCCCGGACTCCAGATTTCCAGAAAAAATCTGGAGTACCCGGCCCCGGACTCCAGACTCCAGATTTCCAGAAAAAATCTGGAGTACCCGGGCCCCGGACTCCAGACTCCAGATTTCCAGGAAAAAATCTGGAGTACCCGGGCCCCGGACTCCAGACTCCAGATTTCCAGAAAAAATCTGGAGTACCCGGTCCCCGGACTCCAGACTCCAGATTTCCAGAAAAAATCTGGAGTACCGGGGCCCCGGACTCCAGACTCCAGATTTCCAGAAAAAATCTGGAGTACCCGCGGCCCCAGACTCCAGATTTCCAGAAAAAATCTGGAGTACGCGGGGGCCCCAGACTCCAGACTCCAGATTTCCAGAAAAAATCTGGAGTACCCGCGGCCTCAGACTCCAGATTACAGACTCCAGAATCTGGAGTCCAGGGTCCCGGTACTCCAGATTTTTTCTGGAAATCTGGAGTCTGGAGTCTGGTGGTACTCCAGATTTTTTCTGGAAATCTGGAGTCTGGAGTCTGGAGGTACTCCAGATTTTTTCTGGAAATCTGGAGTCTGGAGTCTGGGGGTACTCCAAATATTTTCTGGAAATCTGGAGTCTGGAGTCCCCCCCCTCCCAAAACCAGCCTTCCCGAGGCCAAATGTGTGGATCATGGGGGGGGGGGGGCGAGCAAATATATGTATATATATATATGTATATGATATATATATATATATATATGTATATCTATATATGTATATCTATATGTATTGGTGATTTTCCTGAATTCGGGTGTTCAGGGTTACATGCAGGACTACGAAACAAGACATGTCGCTTCATTGAAGCCCGCGCCTTCCTGCACATCACCTGCACAAACTCCTGGCATGCCCCAGGTTTAGGTTAAGGGTTTAGGGTTTAGGGTTTAGGGTTTAGGGTTTAGGGTTTAGGGTTTAGGGTTTAGGGTTTAGGGTTTAGGGTTTAGGGTTTAGGGTTTAGGGTTTAGGGAGAGCCGCAACCCTAACTAAAGCCTAAACCCAAAACGGAAGGGATGAAACGCTGAGAATTGAAGTTCGCAGCCGGCAATCCACACCCTGCACTATAGGAGTCACGGGTTTAGGGCCCTAAAAACCTTCGAACCACAAACCCTAAACCCTAACCTCTAAACCCTAAACCCTAAACCCTAAACCCTAAACCCTCCCTTCCACAGGAAAAAAGTCCTCGAAGTCGATCTCTCCGTTCCCATTCCTTCGGATGCGGGGGCCATGCAGGCTCTGAGGGTTTCGCTGCTGAGGTGTAGCTGAGCAGCCCCTAAACCCTAAACCCTAAACCCTAAACCCTAAACCCTAAACCCTAAACCCTAAACCCTAAACCCTAAACCCTAAACCCTAAACCCTAAACCCTCGGGCCAAATTTTCGGCTTCGGTCTTTTCAGTTTCAGTCTTGAACTTCCGGGAGGAACCAGGGTGCCTCTCGGTTTCGCCTCGCAGGGGTGCATACGGGAACCCTAATCGCTTCAAAGGAGGAAAAATGGGGCCCACCACAAGTCCTAGCAGTTCCAGAGCCCGACCTGTAGCGAGGGGTTTAGGTTTTAGGTTTTAGGTTTTAGGTTTTAGGTTTTAGGTTTTAGGTTTTAGGTTTTAGGTTTTAGGTTTTAGGTTTTAGGTTTTAGGTTTTAGGTTTTAGGTTTTAGGTTTTAGGTTTTAGGTTTTAGGTTTTAGGTTTTAGGGTCATGTGGCGCGTGCATCGGTGGCAACACCGAATTCGGATTTAGGGTTGGGTTTAGGGTTTAGGTTTTAGGGTTTAGGGTTAAAGTTTGCGGTTTAGGGTTTGTAGGGTTTGTAGGGTTTGGGTCCGAAGTGTTGGGTACCTTGCAGGCTGTAAGTTCACTGTTTCACCCAGAAATCTTAAACCACAATCCTGTTGCCTATGCCCGATGTGGCTCTGGGAGCGTTTAAGGGTCCCAGGACGACCTACCAAGTCTCCTCGGGTTGCGGGGCGCAGAAACCCTACTCTCTAAAACCAAAACCCCCATCAACCTTAAACCCTAAACCCTGAAGCCCCAAAACCCCAGATGCAGGCACAGCTCTCATCAATCTCCGAGACCATGAGCTTCAACTCCTCCGGGCTGGTACCTCAGTCAGGGTTTAGGGTTTAGGGTTTAGGGTTGAGGGTTTAGGGTTTGGGGTGTAGGGTTTAGGGTTTTGGGTTTAGGGTTTAGGGTTCAGGGTTTGGGGCTTCCAAATCTGGTTTTGGGTCTTCCTAGGTTTTATAGGGCTCAACCCTCCCCCAAGAATTTCTTAATAGCCCAGGTTCTATACTTTCAGCAACAGCGAAGGCGGACACTTCTTCCCAAGGGGCCCCGCAAGACTGCAAGGGCCTCCGCGTCGCGCAGTCTACGGACTGAGGCCGGCACGGATACCCAGAGTATCCATCAGCCTTCAGGGTTTAGGGTTTAGGGTTTAGGGTTTAGGGTTTAGGGGTTTAGGGTTTAGGGTTTAGGGTTTAGGGTTTGCCAGCTCAGGGTTCAGGTCTAGAAATTAGGGTTGAGGGTTTAGGCTTTAGGTCTTATGGGAAGGAGGTAGGCGCTTCGTGATCTCATGGCAACGGCTTTCTTCGAGTTCTTGTGCCTCCTGCTTTGGTTGTCTAAACCTACACCACCCTACAAACCCTAAACTCTGAAAACGACCTGAGACCTTGTTAGCACAGTAACCATATTATAACAAGGGTACCCTTGTTTGATTTTATACTTCTTTTAAGGGAACCCATAAACAAAAGGGTTAAAGGGCACTACCACAGGGCTGCCAAGAAACTACCCCCAAAAAACCGCACCACCCAAGTACCCGAATTCTAGCCCGTTCAACCCTAAACCCCAAACGCTACACCCTAAACCTTTTTGCTGACTGACTGGTGCAGCTAAGGGAACCCTGACCTCCTAGACCCTAAGCCCAAAACGACAGAAGTGCTTCTTTTATTAAACAAGGAAACGGTTTAGGGGTTAGGGCTTAGTTTAGGGTTTAGGGCCAGATTTTCAAAGGCTCAGTCATAAGGGCCCGGGGACGCAGGAAGCTTCACCCTAAACCCGAGGAGCCCTTTGCTGTTCTCAAGCACAGCCTGGACACTAATCTAGATGTAGAAGTCTCGGCATTTCTCCTAGACACCGCCCCCACCCAGCGCGTAGGGCCTGGCCAGCTCCTCTGTACCAATTGAGCCACCTCGGTCCGTGTCCACCAGGTTGAAGATCTCTTGAAACTCCTGCAGGTCCTGGGCGAAGCTCAAAAACAGAGAGGATCAGTTTTTAGAGGGATGGCCGGACAAAGCGTCGTGCTGGACTTGTTGCAAAAGAGCTTTTCCACTTTAGTGCGGAGACTTTACAGGGCGTCACATGGCAACGTCGCAATTCTGGGATACAAAAGGGGCAACTATTCATTATCATCCAGGCGCTTTAAATCCCAATGCCCTAGCCCAACAACCTAAACTTTCCCTAAACCCTAAACCCTAAACCCTAAACCCTTAATTGCAGCAAGGGCGTCCTCATCGGAAAGATTTGGGTGCTTTCGGCCAGCATCGCCTGGGCTCGGGCTCAGTGCACGCCTTCAGACTTCATTAAGGATCGCAGCATGTCATTATCGAAAACCTACAAACTACTATTTGCTGAAGAACCCAGAAATAAACAATATTCTTCCTATGAGGGTAATATAGGAATTGTGTTTTATCATTTTTAATTTTTGGGGGGTTCTTCAGCGAATGGTAGCAAAAACTTTTATTCCAAAAAAGGCTCATGCCTCGACTTTGACACAAGGTGGGCCGGCGAAGGGGATGACGTCCAATGAACCAATGGTAGGTTTAAAGGCCCTTAATGTGAAAGAAGCAGGGCGCCTCTGCACGTATAGGTTATGAAGGCCGGTGGTCTCTTTCTCTGTTGCCCTTATACCTTAATATAGCCCCTAGACACGAACAAGAACCCCCTACAAAACAGAAACCCCACTTAAAGAGACCACCAACCATTATAACGTATAGGTGTCATGTTGGGCCTGCTTCTGCGGCTCCGGGCAGCTACCACCCAACCGGGGGTTGGGGGTTTCTGGGGGAAGCCCAAGGAATTGTTACAAGGGTACTTTTTGTGGTAAACTATAACCCTAAACCCTAAACCCTAAACCCTAAACCCTAAACCCTAAACCCATAACCCTAACAGGGCAAAAGGGCACCACTTAGCCAACAAGAGAAGAGTGGCTGGAAGAGGAGGCCACCCTTCGCAACTCCATCGCCATCGCTCTCTACGAGTCGTGGCGCGTTCTCCAGCTTGAACCTAAACTCTGTAGGGTTTAGGGTTTAGGGTTTAAGGGTTTAAGGGTTTAAGGGTTTAAGGGTTTAAGGGTTTAAGGGTTTAAGGGTTTAAGGGTTTAAGGGTTTAAGGGTTTAAGGGTTTAAGGGTTTAAGGGTTTAAGGGTTTAAGGGTTAAAGGGTTTAAGGGTTTAAGGGTTTAAGGGTTTAAGGGTTTAAGGGTTTAAGGGTTTAGGGCTCCCTTTCAAGGGTCAGTGCTACCTAGAACACAGTATTACAGCCAGCTGCTGGTCGTTTCCTACAAAACTAAAGGTTAACCCTTTTCCCAGGCAGTGCTTGCGCTATGGGGATCCGAGGGTGCAGCTAACGCAATTTTGTGGTGGCTGTGTGCTCGCATGGACCTTACCAGCCCTCTCGCACGCGATGCCTTCTTTTTGTTCGTCTCTCGACCGCGCCTCGGGCATAGCTGCAAGATGCGTCTTTACGAAGGAAGAGACCACCGACTCAAGAACGATTCTAGGGGCCTTAATAAATAAGAATAGGGTTTTGGAGGTTACTATAATCTAATTATACAGGGACCAGACGGGTGGGTATACGATTAGTAACTTTTTCCGACCCCTACATTATCGCATTCTCTCTCTCTCTCTCTCTCTGTCTGCAGAACAGTCCTGTGTCGTTGTGTACAGGCTTTGCATTCAAGGATAGCGGCGGTTGTCAAATCCATGGAAGACATGGCCCCGAAGAAGATCAGGGTGGCGTGGCCGCGGGTTCAAAAAACGATCGCAACAAGAACAGCGAAGAATCGGACGAGGAGGCCCCAACTTATGGACTAAATAGAGCTCTAAGTACCCCCCAAACAAGGTTGTAAGTACAGTTTCCATGCTGCTATTCTAACCCTTCTTAAGACTGCCCACTAGCTGGGTGGATCCCCTAAACCCTAAACCCTAAACCCTAAATCCTAATTAAACCCCAAACCCCAAGCCCTAAACCCTCCAACTTACGGGCATAAAGCTTTGGGTGGATCGATGCCGTGGCCACGCTCCACCCTGCAGGGGCGTCCCCTCCCTCAGTGGAAGCCGATGGTCTGCGTACGGGGCCGGCGCAGTCCCCACACCTGTGGTTAGGAGGTTGGGGTTTAGGGTTTAGGGTTTGGGGTTTAGGGTTCTAAACCTACAACTTGAGATGTTCCCCCTGATTCTAACAGTCCTTAATAGGGATGATACTCGGCGGTACTACAATCCCAATTAAGGACTGCTAGTATAAGGGGGAACATCCCAACCCACAACCCACAACCCAAAACCCAAAACCCTGAACCCTAAACCCTAAACCCTAAACCCTAAACCCTAAACCCTAAACCCTAAACCCTAAACCCTAAACCCTAAACCCTAAACCCTAAACCCTAAACCCTAAACTTCCTAAACCCCTAAACCCCGTACCCGCAACAAAAAACCAAGGCACCTCGCGGCCCTCCTCGCGGAGACGATCGAAGCACATCTTCTTGCACTCCATCTCCAGCCAGCGGCACTCCTTTCAGGAAGCCAGGCCCTAGGGTTTAGGGTTTAGGGTTTAGGGTTTAGGGTTTAGGGTTTAGGGTTTAGGGTTTAGGGTTTAGGGTTTAGGGTCATGGGTCATTAGGGTTTCGGGGGTCCAAAGCCTCGGTAAAACCCTAGAACCCCAAAAGCCTGCACCACCCCACTCTGGCTTGTTCTCGCGGAAGCTGCCTTGCATAGGGTAGCTACGTTTGGGAGTTGGTTCGGTGCTCCGTAGGACTTCTGCGTGGCTCATGCACGCCTCGCGAGGGCCGATGCTTGCCAGCCAGAAGTTCATGAGCTGTCTTCTCAGTCTCTCTTTGCAGTTTAGGATTTCAGGGGGCGGGGGGTTCGGGTTTAAGGGTTAAGGGTGTAGGGTTTAGGGTACTTACGCTCCTCGCTTGGGAGGTGGGTGGGGGAGGCTGTGTCGGGTGTGTCTGAGACGGGTGCTTGACATTCAGCATGACAGGCGAGCGAACCCTAAGCCATTTGACCCTGGTCCCGAAAGCCCTCGGCAAGAGGTTAAAGACCTCGGGCCCGACCCCCTCAGCTTCCGAAGCCATTCCTTCACGAGTTGAACCTCAGCCTGCGGGCCCTAACCCTAAACCCTAAAACCTAAACCCTAAACCGTAAACCCTAAACCCTAAACACCCCCGGCCTTTTAGCAAAGGCCTGCACATGCAATTCAGCGCACGTAGGCATGTCCAGTGTTCTTGTTCAGGCTCCTGTGTAAGGAGCCTTTGATACCGGGAGTCATGATGTCCCCCCCCCCCCCCCTCCCCCCCTGCAAAAAAGGGAACCCCCCGCACACACCCACACATCCCCGACACCAATGCCTGAAGCCTGAACCCTGAACCCTGAACCCTGAACCCTGAACCTAAACCCTAGACCCTAAACCCTAGACCCTCAACCCGATCCTTGCAGTCGTTCCAGCGGCCGCCCACGTGGGAGAAGTCGCCTGGGGCATCCGTGCGTGGGCTTCTGGGACTTGGGGTTCTCCAGGGTTGACATGTCCTGTTTGCGTTAGGGTTTAGGGTTTAGGGTTTAGGGTTTAGGGTTCAGGGTTCAGGGTTCAGGGTTCAGGGTTCAGGGTTCAGGGCTTAGGGCTTAGGGTTTAGGGTTTAGGGTGCGATTCGAGCTGGAGAGCTTCCAGAGGCCCAAAATTCACGATTCCCAAACAAGGTCTGCTTCAACCCAAATAGGGAAGCGAACAACACAGGGCCTAAGTGGGGAAGTTAGTCAAAGGTTACCTTGAGCTCGAGCCCAAACCCCAAACCCTAAAGCCTAAACCCTAAACCCTAAACCCTAAAGTCAGCTGTGCATCCAGGTGTCGTTTGCGGCCGTTCATGTACTGGTACTCAGGCATCAGTGGCACCGGTGGCTTCGAGGACCTCCGTGGCCACTGATCAACCGCATTTCTGGGCTAGATTTAGGGTTTAGGGCCAGGGTTTAGGGTTAGGGCGTAGGGTTTAGCTGCTAGATGGTTAGGTGTCTAAGTTGTGGCCCCTTGTTTGGGTATCCCCTCAGAATAGTTAGAGGGCTCAGAATGAAAGAGGGACCCAAAAGAACATAAGTTAGTGCTCCGGACCTAATAATAGTAATTATAGCGGTTGCTTTAATTTAAGGATTTTTCAGGGTTCCCTGAAATGGCTTCTTGAGGGTTTTTCTGAGGTGGTGGATATGGATGAAGAAACAGGTGCTACTGTCGAAGGGAATTTACATGGCTCCTTAGTATCGGCCCTTAAATGGGGACCATGTAGTAACTTTAACTTCCCTTAGAGACACTGGTGGGTTGGGTATGTCGGACTCTCTTGGCTTTAGCGCTGTCGAGTTCGCACCCTAAACCCTAAAACCTAAAACCCTCACCCAAAACCCTCAAACCCTATCAACCCTATAAACTTGATGAATCCTGTAAACACTGTAAACCCTGTAAACCCCTGAAAACCCCTATAAACCCTTAAAAACCTTATAAGCCCTAAACCTAGTCACTGGCGACCGCTCACTCTTCCCGTGCCCAATCAACCCTGCTTAAACCCTGGGTTTAGGCTTTCGGGTTAACGTATAGGGTTTAACGTTTAGGGTTTCAGGTTTAGGGTTTAAGGTTGAGGGTTTAAGGTTTAGGGTTTCGGGTACGCTCGAAAGCTGAGGTCTGGGCAGGTGAGTGAACTGGCCGTACCAATACCAGACACCTGGGCAGTGAAGGCCAAGGTCCATCAATCGGGCAATGTACGGGCATTTCACAAACTAGGGGGTACCCCCCGTATAGAGCCAAAATGCTAGAACTCCTATTCTAGGAAGCCCTCCCCCCACATTCGGAAAACCCCCCCACAGAGACCTAAGGTCCCGTGAAGGGTCCTCATAGAGCACAGTGCGCTCTTGCTACAGAGCGTGCCTCCAACCTTAGTGAGGAGGCCTTAGAGTAGGAACCTCAACCCAAAAACACGGGACTAAGGGCCCACCATGGGGGTCCTAGTTGAGGAAGCTACCCGAATTGAGGTATATTCCTGAAAGCAAGGGGTATTGGGAACTTTGATCTAACGTGCAGTGCACTTTGCGGTGCCCTAAACTACTGACTGAAGTGAGAGCAAAATCGGCATGGATCGAACCCCAGAACCTCCAAAGCCCTAATACTGCTCTCCCCCGACTGTAGCAGATTAGGGCCTGCAGGGTTTCTTGGGGTTTAGGGTTTAGGGTTACTTACTCTTTGGTAAGTTTCAGATTTAGAGTTTTTGGCATTGGGAGTTTTTGGAGGACTGCGGAGAAGTCTCATAGCAACGGCCTGGTGTTCGGGCAACGTCTCCCCGCAGCACTCTCAAGATGCGGTTCCTCTTCCTGGCCCCTTGCCTGTGACCAACCATATGGGGGTTTCCGAAAATAGGGGTACCCTTTTGGGGGGGTCCCTTTAAGAGGATGCTGTTCTACTTGGGGTATAAAAAGGGTACCACGATTTTGGGAAATACCCTTATCACTTGTGGCCTGCTACCCAGCTACATCTGCTTGGCACGCTGAGGGGCTGATCGGGATGTAGAAGAAGTTCACCCACGTCAGCCACAGCAAGAGCTTCCTCTCGTACCTGAAAAGCGCCATCAGTTCTGGGTTTCGGGTTTGGGGTGTAGGGTTTTTTTGTTACGATCACCGAACTGCCGAAACTGCCGCAGGGCACTCGGTGACCAGTATCGATGAAGCTCGGGACTGGGGCTCCATGTCAAGGATCCAGGCGCGGCGGGAGTGCCACTTGGTGTAGAAGCCTCCGCGAGGGCTTTTGGGCTTAGAAGATGAAATCGCGGAATCAAATCGCTGCGATTTAAACACGCAGGCCCAAATCGCTTCTTATTTGGTCGTATTCAAGCATTGGAAACGCAAATCGCGCGATTCGGGTTTCCAATGCCAAATCGCAGCTTGTGCTGCTTTCAAGAAGCACTCGTGAGAAGTGGGTTCAATGATTATTGCGGGTTTGG